ATGCCAGAAAAATTTTCACACTTGATAACTATAACCCACACATGTAGGAATTCCCACAAAGGAACTTGAAGAAAGCTACATTAAAAGCACACATAATCATATTGCTTAAAACCAGTGATGAAGAGAAAATGTTCAAAGCATGAGAGAAAAAAGGCTGGGGAGCTGTGGAACAGAAAGTAAAGATGATTGGGAAATGGTAGTGGAGGCAATGTCCATAGAGGAGGGACTTCAGAGGGAGTAAGAAGATGGAGGGACCATTTGGAAAAGAACTTGATAACGTCAGGGTTCCACTGATTGTGACTGAACCTTCTAGAAGGCTCAGTGGAAAGGTTTTGGAATTGGTGGCAGAGACCTGGTCAGATTAAGGGATGGGTAAACAAAGATGATCTGTGAATTTTGATCTCTTATGTTTGATGTAAACAGGATAAACAGGTGCAATGTCATCAGTCTTAATAGTCTCAAGATGGATTGGGGTGACAGGACTGTGACTGCTATGGATTGAGAGAAGGAAGTCTTTTATCAAGAGCAAGCAGAGCATCTTCACTTTAGCTGAGGAAAGTGTACCCCAGCCAGGGTGGTCCTACCAAATGAATTTTGTCTCTGAACCTCCTGTGTCTCTTGCTGTTGATCTCCCTTCCTCTTTCTCTCTCTCTCTCTCTCTGTCTCTCTCTCTCTGTGTGTCTCTGTGTGTGTTTGTTTGTTTGTGTTTGTGTTTGTGTGTGTGTTGCAAGTAACTTTGCATCCTGATTCTGTATGGCCCTGTTGTGGAGACTTCCATTCCTATACTCTATGGGTCATCAACAGAAGGAATTATCTCATCCATTGACTGGAAGCTTCCTGCAGTGTCTGGATGCCATATTTGAATAGAAATGGATTTTCAGTTATTCTTATTTTTGTGAAATTGTTCTAACAATACTTTTCATCACATGGTTTTTGCACCCACCCAACCTAGTACTGTGACCACCTAAGATCTATTTATAGAGAAGTTTTCAATGTCTCTTGAGCCTGTCTTTCTGGAATCCTTATTTTCCTACCTGGGTGAGTTGCTATGTTTGATACATAGAGTTGTGTCTTGTCAGGTATAATTGCCCTTCAAGAATGAGTATCTAACTGGAAGAGTAGATTAAACAATACTTGGCAACAATTAAACAAGAAAGCTTACTGCTTGTTTATCTGTATAGAGAGTACCCACCATGCTGTATCTGTGCCTTAATTACCAGCGTTTGCATAACTTTTTCATTCTTGAAACTTCATATGAGCTGTTATATCATCATATATTTGATGAAAAGCACAATTGAGTAGAGAAGTATGCTAGCCTTTAGCAGTAACAATAGAAATCCTGGTTATTGGCACCATATGGCCATAATCAATGCCCCACTTGCTTGCTGGCTCTTACCTTAATTACAAACAAAATCTTTAGGAAGAAGATGACCATCATGTACAATGTAATCCTTATAGACCCAACTCTATAAAATTCTATGCAGTGTCTCTTTGGGTACCCAGTGTAACCTTCTAAGAGCAATGTTGTGCAATTTCAGGATATTTATGACCCTGCATGTATTTTTCATTAATTACACTCTATTTCTTTTTTTAAATAAATTAAATAAATGTATTTAAATATTTAAATATATTATATTAAAATAACTAACTTTTATTTATTTTAATAAATATTTAAAGAGCCAGACTCACACATTGGAACATGGAAGTAAAGGCTGGAGAGCCAGAGCAGCCAGCACCCTCCCTACTCCTTTTTTTTTTTTTTTTCATTTTTCTTTTATTATTCATATGTGCATACAAGGCTTGGGTCATTTCTCCCCCCTGCCCCACCCCCTCCTTACCACCCACTCCGCCCCCTCCTCCCCCCCTCAATACCCAGCAGAAACTATTTTGCCCTTATTCTAATTTTTTGTAGAGAGAGTATAAGCAATAATAGGAAGGAACAAGGGTTTTGCTGGTTGAGATAAGGATAGCTATACAGGGCATTGACTCACATTGATTTCCTGTGCGTGGTGTTACCTTCTAGGTTAATTCTTTTTGATCTAACCTTTTCTCTAGTACCTGTTCCCCTTTTCCTATTGGCCTCAGTTGCTTTAAGGTATCTGCTTTAGTTTCTCTGCGTTAAGGGCAACAAATGCTAGCTAGTTTTTAGGTGTCTTACCTATCCTCACCCCTCCTTGTGTGCTCTCGCTTTTATCATGTGCTCATAGTCCAATCCCCTTGTTGTGTTTGCCCTTGATCTAATGTCCACATATGAGGGAGAACATACGATTTTTGGTCTTTTGAGCCAGGCTAACCTCACTCAGAATGATGTTCTCCAATTCCATCCATTTACCAGCGAATGATAACATTTCGTTCTTCTTCATGGCTGCATAAAATTCCATTGTGTATAGATACCACATTTCTTAATCCATTCGTCAGTGGTGGGGCATCTTGGCTGTTTCCATAACTTGGCTATTGTGAATAGTGCCGCCAATAAACATGATGTGCAGGTGCCTCTGGAGTAACAGTCTTTTGGGTATATCCCCAAGAGTGGTATTGCTGGATCAAATGGTAGATCGATGTCCAGCTTTTTAAGTAGCCTCCAAATTTTTTTCCAGAGTGGTTGTACTAGTCTTACATTCCCACCAACAGTGTAAGAGGGTTCCTTTTTCCCCGCATCCTCGCCAACACCTGTTGTTGGTGGTGTTGCTGATGATGGCTATCTAACAGGGGTGGGTGGAATCTTAGTGTGGTTTTAATTTGCATTTCCTTTATTGCTAGAGATGGTGAGCATTTTTTCATGTGTTTTCTGGCCATTTGAATTTCTTCTTTTGAGAAAGTTTCTGTTTAGTTCACTGCCCATTTCTTATTGGTTCATTAGTTTTGGGAGAATTTAGTTTTTTAAGTTCCCTGTATATTCTGGTTATCAGTCCTTTGTCTGATGTATAGTTGGCAAATATTTTCTCCCACCTCTGTGGGTGTTCTCTTCAGTTTAGAGACCATTTCTTTTGATGAACAGAAGCTTTTTAGTTTTATGAGGTCCCATTTATCTATGCTTCTCTTATTGCTGTGCTGCTGGGTTTCATTGAGAAAGTTCTTACCTATACCTACTAACTCCAGAGTATTTCCTACTCTTTCTTGTATCAACTTAAGAGTTTGGGGTCTGATATTAAGATCCTTGATCCATTTTGAAAGAGTTAATCTTGGTATAGGGTGATATACATGGATCTAGTTTCAGTTTTTTGCAGACTGCTAACCAGTTTTCCCAGCAGGTTTTGTTGAAGAGGCTGCTATTTCTCCATCGTATATTTTTAGCTCCTTTGTCAAAGATAAGTTGCTTATAGTTGTGTGGCTTCATATCTGGATCCTCTGTTCTGTTCCACTGGTCTTCATGTCTGTTTTTGTGCCAGTACCATGCTGTTTTTATTGCTACTGCTTTGTAATATAGTTTGAAGTCAGGTATCGTGATACCTCCTGCATTGTTCTTTTGACTGAGTATTGCCTTGGCTATTCGTGGCCTCTTGTTACACTCTATACAGTTTGTGTGCATTCCTTGTTACCGAGAAGTATGATTCTCTATGGTATTCCTCTGCCAAATTAATCATATTCAGATTATATAAGAATATTATAAAGTTAGCTCCGTTGATATCACAAATTATTCTCAGTATACCATGTGTGTGCCTGATCTGTATCTCAGACTTGTTTCCCTTGCCAAGTTTGATCTGCGTAATTATGGTTTTGTTGACTTTCATTTTCCTTCTAGCAAAGAAGCCCTTTAAAAATTATTTAACCATTTACCCTCTACCAAAAAATTTTTTTCTGGAAAAAAAGGAAACTTTGCATTAATTACTTAGGTCTCTTCTCTTTGTAAAATGGTTTCAAAGAAAGGTTGGATTTGGAGAAATTTCAAGGAGTATGGCCACCTGTGCCATAGACTTGTATGGGCCACTTGTGTGATGTGGCTGCCACAAACATTGGTTCTGTAGTAACAAAAGTATAGCATTCCAGCAATAGGGAGATAATTTCCAGTATTAGATCTGTTTCTGGTTACCTTGTCCTAAGCCATGCTTTTTATTGATTTATTTTAGCTACACTAGGGTTTGAACTAAGGATCTTGTACTTGCTAGGCAAGCACTGTACCACTTGAGCCACATCTCTAGTCCTTTCTGCTTTAGTTTATTTTTCAGACAGGGTCTCGCACTTTTACCCCCAGGCCAGCTCTTCTTCCTGCATAGCTGGAATTCATAGGCACATACCACTTCACCCACTTGTTTGCTGAGATAGGGTCTTGCTAACTTTTGCCAGGGCTAGCCTTGACTCATAGTCTTCCAATGTCCAGTTCCCAAGTAGCAGGGTGACAGGTTTGTGCCACCACATCTGGCCCTCCATGCTTTTTTTTTTTTAATTGTCATTCTATAAGTTGAAAACCATCTGATAATCCAAGAAAAATTAGAAGAGCACTATTGTGTTAATAATCAGAAAGTCCTAGGTGACCACTTTCTGTGACCCTATAATAAGCAGTTTGTCCTTATTATAAGATAAAACATGTAAATGACTAATTGTGATTATTTTGAAAAAAACCTAAAAGAAATCATCTGTTGCCTTAAAATACTTTTTAAAGAATAATATAGAAGAAATTTTTAAATTAGCAGTTTGCATTTGAAAACTAGAGCTTCTATACTAGAGATATGAAATTAAAATAACTAGACTTTTAAAGTCATTATCTATATTTTACTATAGCTGAACAAAACATTCTCACCCATTTATTCTGAAAAATTAGAGCTAATGGGACTTCTTCCTCTATCCTTTATAGGATCATTGCTGTTTTCTATTAAAGTTAAATCATTTCATTTTCAGCATGTAGGGTTGGAAGTTTTTCCATGTTGGAGGTTATAGAGAAAAGCCATAATATTGGAATATAACATAATTTTGAATAAAAAAAATGTTTATTCTTAAATTAGAATTGGATTTACTTAGAAAAAACAAGCTAATCTGGATATGTTTTGTTTCTTTCTTTTCAGGTCTTCGGGTAACTGTGCTTCTGACATCCTTCCTTATGGTTTTGGGAACTGGTCTAAGATGCATACCTGTATCAGACTTAATGCTTAAAAGAAGGTAAATCATACAAATAACTTCAGTTTTCCCACAATTTTCTCTTGTATTATATTGCATATGTTCGATTATAAGCTGTTAGTTAACATCCATTTTATGATCAGCATAGTCACATTTATAGAAGCAGTTATTATTTTTACTCTGCATGATGATTAATTCAGTTTATTGTCATATGGAAGACATTATACTAGTTGTTGTGGAAAAAGAAAGAACAAGTTAATCTTCATGCTATCCGGGAGTTATGTTACCCATGAGAAAATAATAGTGTAAGTATAACATCTATATATATATATGTGTGTGTGTGTCTATAATATAGTTATATGCCATAGAAGAGATGTAAATTCTCCTCATGAGACTGAGAGAAGTTTGTCTGAGGGTATCAAAAATAAGAGCTCACACAAGTGAACATGGAAAAATGAGACCTGTTGAAACTGTTCTATGAGGGAAGGGGAGGGATAAAGGATAATGATAGAGGGGATAGATTTAACTAAGATATATGGTAAGCACTTTTGTAAATGTCACAATACACCCCCAGCACAACACTAATATGCTAATAAAAATGAAGAAAAATGTTGTCAGTAAACTACCTATGGGTTCCACCTGCTCACCATTATGATGATGATTCACTGTGCTCCGATAATTATAAATGTGCTGTCCTACAATGAGCATAATCACAGGGCCTTGCAACATGTGGTACATGTGTGGTATCTGTGACATAAACATTTTTAATGTTCAAATATAAGTACCAGGGAGGTGCATTTGTTGAAATCTTTGGTGCTCAGGGAAAAAATCCTGGAGCAAAATGGAAGGTCCTTGGGGTCTGTTTGCAAAAAGCCATTTGCAAAGAGTTTGATAAGGAAACTGAAAGTTTTATGTTTGTCCTGGAAGGCAATAGCCAAACAAAATTCAGTTACCAAAAGAGAATAAGGAAATCCTTGGATTGGTCCCAAGGTTTCTTGTACCTCACACTTATATACCCTGGGGCAGGACTTCTCCACTGAATTGCTCACACAGATTGAACTAACTGCCCTTACCTGGGTATGCAGAGTAGAAGAGACGAGTCTGAGTAGACCCACATAATGAAATGTAAAGCTTCTCCTCAGATATGTGTGGCACATGTCACTTTACTTACATCCATCGGCCAACTCAGATAACACTGCCAAGCCCGAAGTTAGCAGGGCCGGAGAACGTATAAGACTTCGTATGTGAACAGAGGATAGTGAGTCATTATGAACAGTGATAATGTGCCATAAAGACACACATGCATTATTTCATTTAAGTATCACAGCACTCTTAAATGTGGTTGTTATCACCATTGCACAACTTGTTAGTTTAACAAAAATACGTTCTTTAGTTAATAATGGCCAAGAGAGGACCTTCCCTGTCCCTACTTCTGATATATTTATACCGTAGGTTTATTCTGCTTAAGATGTTGCAACTCTCAGACATTTTTTTTATTTCTGAAAAATGTAAAAACATTTTTCAGACTTTTTGATATCAGGATATTGATACCTTAAAAAAAATTGAGAACCCCAAAAAGCTTTTGTTTATGTGGGTTGTATTGCTCAATATTTACCTTATTAGAAATTAACACTAATTCAAAAGATGTCTGCTATTTAGAAATAAAAAATAAATCTATTACATGTTATCATGAATACCTACAAGTAATTGTAGCATAAAACATCTTTATTTTCCACACCAAAAGAAATAAATGAAAAGTGTCATTATTTTCCAGTTTTGCAAATCTCTTTAAAGCAGGTTGATTTCCTGTCTGCTTCTGCATTCAATCACAGGACCTCTGAAAACCTCCATGGTATACTGAGAGACAGTGAGAATTGAAAGGACTCTTAACATCTTAGTATTGTGATGAAAATACTTGAACCTTACTGAATGAATGTCTAACAGGGTCTTGTAGACCCACCCTCTGTGGTCCCTGGACCAGCCTTTGAGAACCATAAATCTCTGAGCCACACTTTGAAAACTGCTATTATAAAATATTTTCTAAAAGCAAATACATGTCATCCTCACTTTGTGTATTAAATTAAATAAATATGAGTTCATGAAAGAGATAGTGATCAAACTCAGCATTGAGAGGTGAGTAGCATTTTGAGGACTTTGTCAGTGGAAAGGTATTCCCAGGAGCGAAGCAGCAGGAGTAAAGGCCCACGTGGAGGCAGGTAAGCACAGCCTCTCCTGGGGCACAGAGATAGTTTCATTTGGGGTTCATGGATTTATTTTCAGAGGGTGCAAGGTATGTGAAGATTTTGAGATTTTGTTCTCATTTTGGTTAGTATATTAAAAATTGTTTTTCAGGAATTATCTGCAATAAAAAGGCATTTTTTATTGACTAGGATGTATAATTTCTTAAGAATAAGTGAGTCTTTGGATATGACCTTGAGAGTCATTGAGAAATGTTTGCCCTTTCAAACATAAATCATTCAAGTTTGCAAGGCACTGATCTGCAGATTAAGGCGTAAGAATAAGAACAGATATAGAGATGAGGTTAGATGTGGTGTTCCCATTAGGGGTATTCTGATCCATCCTGTAGAATTGTACTTCCTGGCTGAACAGTTGCTAGCCACTCACGCTGTTAATGAGAGGAGCGATAGCATCAAACCTCTATTAAATAAACTGCTGATTGAAGTCTGCAGAGTTCATTTCAGTGGTTAAAGACCTCTGGCAGGAGACCAGAAAAAAAAAATACAGTGAGAACTCAAGCTGCAGTCTTTCCTTTATTTGTTTTTTTATTCATTTATTAATTCATTCAATAAAACTCATTAAGCTCCTACGACATGCCACACTCTCCACCCGTCTCCCCAGTGCTGGGTATAAAACCTAACCCGTGTGCACACTAGGCAAGCACATCCCATCCTTACTTCTCAATATTGGAAATACAGCAGGAAATGAAACAGGCAAAAATCCCTACCATGCATAGAGTTTATACTCCTTTTTCAGAGATTGACAATAAACTAGATAAGTAAAATGCGTAGTTTGTGCTATGGAGGAAAAAAATAAAATAGAAAAGGATTTGAATTGTTGAGGGAAGGATAGTAAAGACCTACCTGGGAAGATAATCTTTTGTGATTAAAAACCTGAAGAATGGATGTGTCTAGGAGACAGGCATTGCATGCAGAGAGAACCACAAAAGTACAGAGCTGAAGTTGGAAAAGCTCACCTGTCAGGGAGGCCAGTAGGAAAGAGCCAAGTGGGAATGCATGGGGGGGCTTGAAGTCAGAGCAGTTAACAACGGGTGGTGGCAGGAGTGTGCTGGATCTGTTTTAAGACTGTGTTGGCTTCTACAAGGACTTTACCTTTTTCTGAGCTAGGAAACCACTGGAGGTTTTACATTTGGGACTGCGCTGGCTACAGGCTGCTGTACTGAGAATAGACTGAAACTGAAGGTCACGAGCACAGGGAAACTAGTAAATCAGATGAATGATGATAGGGGTTTGAGTGTCCTGGTAGCAGTGGTAGTGTGACGAAGTGGTGACATTCTGATTATATTTTGGAAGATTTGTTAATGGACCAGATGTGGAGAGGAGGAATCCAGAATGACTCCTTGCTGTGGGAAGTTGTGGGCATGGCAAGAAAGAAATTGGGGGCAAAGTGATTGAGGCTTCACTCTGAGCCTCTGACACTGTTGATTCCATTAACACAGATGAGGAACACAGGCAGTGGGGAAGTGAATTTCAGTGACAAGATACTGACTTTTGTTTTTCAGTTTCAAAATAAATGTTCAGTTTTAAAATTTGAAAATATATTTTCTTTCCAGAAAATTCAGGGAGTAAGTATTTTGTATTTTTAAAGGGAAAGACAGAAAAATCATATGGGTTCCTGTGGTAAACAGGTTATTTCCCATCCTTCTTAGTTAGGTTTTAGCACATGACTGTTGTTACTGTGTGTGAGATGGTCTTTGTTTTTCAGATACCTATGTGGTTTTTTTTTTTAAGCATCCACAGTTTTTAAATACAAATTTCAGTAAAACCTTAAATTCAACAAGGCATTTTTTAAAGATGCCTGTTAATATTTTTGCTAGCCTTTATGCTGTTTTGGCCCATTTATACTATTTCTTCTCTCCAATCTTGTACCCTTTTACTGCTTTCCAGATATAACATTATAGGCAATAGAGTTGATTCTCATCTTGGCAGAGGAGGTGGGATGAAAAAGAAATAAAACTGATAAAGAAGTGTAGACAAAGGTCTGATATATACAAAAGAGAAATAAAATAAAGAGTTAGGGAGATTGAATCCTTCATAGAAAGATGGTATAAATTTAATTTTCAATCTTATGTGTTCATCTATAAAAAATATAGTACCCCCCAAGATAACACATCATTTTGTGTCCGTACAGTTTTGCTGTTATTATTGAAGCACTATTTTTAGCAGTGTGCTATGCAGCTGTTAAAATGAAAACACTACAAATGGAACACATACTTTCAATCAATAAATTGGGTAGATCACCACTTTTTTCAATCTCTGTCAGACAGTTGAGGAAGGATTGAGACATCCAACATGCATTTGAACAGCATTGAAACAAGAATTTAGCAGTTTATGGTTTTGTGCCCCTGTTTCACCTGGAGCTTTTTGAGTTTCTGACCCAGCCTTCTGGAATGATGTCCATATATCCTTGTCTTCCTAAATCTTGGCTACTATAAATCTGAAGATGAGAACAGCTGCTTCCTGACAAGCTCTTCCTCATGGGGTTCTGCCTGTGCATAGTCTCAATATGTTACTCATAACATTTTATATGAATATATCAATAAAAACTCAGGAAAAGTTATTTTGCCACTTTTTCTCTTGCTAACATTATAGAGAAATAGGGAATTTAGAATAATTAATTATAAAGCATTTCTTTTGCTATGATCTGGAAGCAAATCTAACAAAAACTTATAAATGCATTGCCCTATAGCAGTGAATGGCATTATATTATAGTATGAAACCTGTATTATGTTCAGTAAACAATTTAAAGACTTCTGAAGGGTAAACCTATAGTAAGTAATATTT